TTTTTAAATGCATGCATGCAAAAATGTAGTTTTATACAGACCCACACTTATTTGTTATTCTCAAATATTTTATTTCTAGTGACCAATCATATTTTTTTTACGATTTTGCGCCCTGCCAATAGACAGTAACTTGTTGGCAAGGACCAGTTGTTAGATAAAATAGAGGCATTGTTCACCCTATTCGTTATTAAATTCACATGTATGTGTCCCTGTTAATAGAACAACTCAGCGCAATGTAGCCTGACAAGTTGGGATCGCAGCAGTCCAGGGCGCCACCTACGCCAAATTGTCATGCTAAGCGCAATGTTGTCATAGAGATCACAAGCATTTGTTATCAGACATTCGCGTGCTGTTCGGCAAAACTTTAAACAAATAAAATCACAGCAATAATTTCAGGATCACCACATGATGAGCAAAATATTACACCCTCATTATACCAGATGATTAAAAAACTACAGCAAGTGAAACCCACAACACTATTCAATGTACTTAACATCAAATAAATACAAGTTCAACCTCATCTGGTGTTGTGATGTTGCATACTTTTATTTCTTAAATAATTTGCTCAACAGCTCTGCTACATTGCTGTGTCCATATTTTAACACAGTGCAACCATTGTACAACCCTAAGGTATATACATGTATAAAGCATGCACATCTATCGGAGTAAACAATCTGTGCTAAAATTGAATTAATTTTCCCAGATTTGAACCTGCTGCATAAAGATATCATATAAAATAAACCAAAATGGCAGATCCAACTCACCTAAAAATTGTTATAGAGGTATGTATGCACAGTATGGAGATTTAATAGTAATTTTTCAGTCACATGCTGACGTTTCAACTCACTGTAGAATATTTTAGGACACATTAATCCATAGTACTGATCATTCACGCCTCTGCGCATGTAATATATGATGTATATTGATGTATGATGATGATGATGATGATGATGATGATAAAATCTACTAAAGTCCAGCACATCTACCTTGTATATAACAAATTATTATAATTTTACCTGATAGATTTCATATCTGTTAAATACCGTGGGAGCGCTTCTTCTAAAAACTCCGTCTCCCATGGATCCCTTGGAGTTGGTTTGCGGACGTAGTTCTCTTTCGATTTAGAGGGTGGCCTCGGAATACCGCGTCCATAATAACCTTCACGACCGCGAACAATTTGTTTCGTGATTACTGACATTTGCCATGGATTCCATGAACTCTGAAGACCACCAACTCTAGAAAATACTTGTGTTGTACGTGAGTACATGATTTGTTATTCGATGAACATATTATTCACCGGTTTGCACGTGTTGTTTGTGAGCCGACTCACA